AAATAATATTCCCCCAATAAAGAATTAGAAGGAAAACAGAAAAAGCCTTGCTAATGTGACCTCCAGCATGTGCAGGGCACTTCAATCCTGCAATGCCTAGGATCCCAAAAACTCTCTGAGGAACAAATAAACCCTGTGTTTTCACAACAGGATGGGTTAAACACAGGGTCAATATGAAAAGCTGCAGTTTTGAAATTAAAGCATTTTCTGAACTGTCAAAATAACTCAGCAGTTTGAAGTACATTCTTAAAGACTCCCAGAAGAGTCAACTTATTACCAAGGAAAACTGATTGATAAGTCTAGTATTGATCTGGCAAGAGCCTTTGCCATTCCCTTTGAAAGCTCTCCCCACAGCAACCCACTGGGAATTCAGCGGGATGGCCCCCAGGGAAATCACTAAAGCAAAAATAATAAAAGGAGAGAAGAAAATGAAGAAAATCTCAAGCGTTGACTCTGCAGCTTTCCGACTTCTCCTCTTTCACCTGAATTAAGGTGACGTTCAGCAAAAAAGCCCACAAGCTGTCCATCTAAGGGAATGCATTGTTCCTTGGAAGCACAGGGATAAACCACTGGTCTCCACTATCCAGCTATTTAAAGCACCAACAATAACATTGCATAGGGAGAAGTGCAAATGAACTGATGCAAACACATCCACAAGGATCCAAAATTAAAGACCCAACACCTTTTTGTGTCCCTTAGGGCAAGATCTGGGAATGTTCCTGGGCTCAGATTACTGTTAAAAGCAGCACTGGATTTATTCAGACCCAAAGGATCAGGACTGTTGTGAAAGATGGGATTTAGAGATTCAGTCCCAGCCCAGGTGTCTCTGGTGAGGAGTTCAGATGCTTCCACATAAATGGAAACATATCCATGGGAATAGATATTTGATAATGCTACCTAATGGAACTTCATTGCATTTTCAGATGTTTTCCCACCAGGTTACTGAAATTCTTGCTCCTGGAAGGAGAGAGGACTCACCAGGAAGCCTGCAGCTTGTTCTGAAAGGCACCAACGTGGGAAGATTGAGATTTGCTCTTTCTCACCCCGTTAGGACTCAGGAGAGGAAGGAGATTTATCCAGCTGAAAGTACAAGGCAAAATTAGGAAGGCAGAGTGTAGTCGAGCTAATTGTGGTTTCCTACACCAACCAAAGCATAATTAACAACAGCCGTCTATGAATATACATATTTTTTGCTGTCTGAAGCTCCGTGGACACTTCTCCCATTCCCTTTGTCTGCAGAGCTCTGCTCTGCCATGGACACCTGCCAGTCTCCAGCAACTTTAGGCAAACATCCATCCATTTTCTCATTAGAGATGTGAATTAAGGGAAGGTAAAATGGCCATTTTAAATACAGCAGGCCTCAAACAGTAACTTCTCGGGATGCTGCATTTCCAAAGCCTTTCCTTTGTAGTCTTTTCAACCTCTGCACTCTCATCCATGATTTATGGTGTCCAGGTGTTCCTTGGCAGTACTTTCAATGCCTGTGCCCATAAAGAGGAAAACCTTTAGTGTATCTTGAACTTGTTTTCAAACTTTATTATAAGAGTTCTTGCATTTGTCCTTCATATTTACAGGTTTTTTTAAAAAAATATAACCTCAAACTGCCTTTTCCTACAGGATAATGAAATGAGCATCTCATTAATGAGTCACTTGAACCTCCCCCCCATCAGAACAAGCTTAATTCCATCATAATTCCCTGCCTGAACACCAAACCTCGTTGTGACAGCCCAATTAGTTCTGCTGGCAACATTAAGGAGATGATGATTATTTGAGAAACACACCTTGCAAGTCTGATTTCCATGGAGCCCTCTGGTTAACAGGGATATTCCAGCTTTAATAGAAGGAGACATCAAAAAGCATTTCCCCACACCAAGGAATTCAAGGATTGTGCTGACATTTAATACAACACATGATAAAGAGACGACCTGGAGTAAAAGTCTGTCACTGCTTCTCCCACAATATTATTTATGGCTCTATACAGGCCCAACTCCATGACATTAGCAGACAGAAACCTTAATACCTTGTGACACAACTGGGTTGAGCCATCTAATATCTCCCACAAATCCTTTAAAAACAAATATTCCTTCAAATAATTATGCTGTTCCAACATATTAACTTCCCAGACACCAGCAAGTGATAAAATGTCCTGTTTTAGGGAAGACCAGTGAAAAGACTTGTCTGTGTCCTGGGCTTCGAATCAAAAGCCTTTGACACTCTGCACTGAATAAATATCAGAGAAATAAACTTGGTGGAACAATATATTTTTCCATGCTCTAAAAGGATGAATTTTAAAAAGGACCTAGAACAGGAACCTACAACTCCAGGGAAAAAAAAAATAATCAAATATCAACCAGGTCACTAATAATCTAATGTCAACTGCTTCAATAAAAAAAAATGGGGAATGCTAAATAATCAAGTAACAAGCTGCCAGGGAGGTTTGTAGTGGGAACTGTGAGGAGCTGTGTTATTCTCTGTGTATGTTGATTAGAATTTTAAAGAAAATGTAATGTTTCTCCCAACCCTATTTCCCCATTTATAACCCAGGGTGTGAAATCTGTCAGGCTGTGTCTTAGATCCTCTCAGATGCTGAACTCGCTCAGCCTGTGTGCTTGAGAGATGGTCTGCAATGCTCCTGTCCTGAGAAGAAAAAGGAACTTCATCAGTGGGAGGTGAATCTCTGGGTTGCGGAGGTTTAATACACAATGCAGGTTTGGCTGAGCTAAACTTATCCTCCCTTAATTACATATTCCTGGTATGCAGCTGACTCCCACCTCCTGCAGCACAGATAATTGCCCCTTCCACTCACATCCCTCTCTGATCACTGCTATGGATGGAAAATGTAAAAGAAATGTTTATCACAAGGGAATTATTTTAATTTCTTGTAGCAAGCCAGAAGAAAAGGGTCAGCCCCAAGCAGCCCTCACTGCAGAAAGCAGTCAACAACTGGATCTTAAAGCACCTGAACAATGTGTAGGCAGAGCTGTTTATTCCACTTGGCTTTCCACTCCACTGCATCAGTGCATTTCCTTACTCTCCTGCAGCACTGGGGATCTATCTCATTATGCTGGCCAACCTTCCTTTTTATTACATACATATATAGATGCAGCACAGAGTTGTCTCTTTCAAGAGACATGAGATCACTGCTGAAACCATGGGCTGCACTTCATCAAATGGGAGAGAAGACAAGATGTGTCCTAAAGATTTCTGCCAAGCTGAGACCTTGGCCAGTCAGTCCAAATACAGCATGAGGGGCTTACCAGGCTAAAACACCTCAGTGACTGCAAGTGCCAGACAGCACACTCTGCGTCTCCTAGAACTGGAGAATCAGCCTCTCTTGCCAAAAAGAACCTCACCAAAAGAGAAAAAGTGGTATTGCCAACCTGAAATATTAGAGCAAGATCACAGGGTACAGAAGAGCTGGTTTTATCATGATGGAAATTGTACCTGAAAACACAGGTAGATTTCATGCCCTGAAATGCAAACATTTTGCCCTTTATTTCCATGAAGTGTCACATCTGAGGGTGCAGCCACAGTACAACCAGCACCCCAAGCCTCAGGCAGCATCCCCAGCCTAACAACAGCTGTATCACAGGGTCACCGAGGTTGGGAGAGACCCTAAAGGTCATCCAGTCCAACCATCAACCCGGCACCACCACTGTAACCCCTAGACATCTAAACACATCACCCAGTGCCAAATCCAGGTGCCTCTTGGATGCCTCCAGGGATGGTGACTCCGTGACCTCCCTGGGTGGTGGAGTCTCTCCCTGTTCCAATGCCTGACCACCTGAACAGTGAAAATCTGTTTTCTAATATCTAATCTGGATCTCCCCCGTCTCAGTTTAAGGTCATTCCCTCTTTCCTCTCACTGCAGGCACAGCAAACAGACCAGACCCCACCTCACCACAGCCTCCTGTCAGGGCTGGGGAGAGTTGTACAGAGGGGGGGAGTTGATTCTGTTGTTTTGAAGAGAAAGAATTACAAGTGTCTTGAGAACCATCTGTGTTCATCTTATGGGATGTGACACACTGTCCTAATGGTAAAAGAGTAATTTAAAAATAATGGTGAAAAAGTAATTTAAGAAATACCTACTGTTTCTTTTGGCTTTTCTGTCTTAATGGCAAAACAGAGCTGCAGCTGACCGGGAGCATTGGATGTTTTTAGCAAAGTCATTGTAACGCTCCATGGCCAGCCCTTTAACCCGTGTTTTTGCAGTGATTTCTGATGTTTTATATGTGGACGGCCTGGTGGAGGCACTGGGAAATCCCACAGGGCTCCCATTTAGTGCCTGTTCTGCTCTCCCCGTGCCCAGCCCAGGACACAGCTGTGGGGCTGCCCTGGGCTGGCTGCTGGGCACCAAGGCTGTCAGTAAAGTGCTCTTTATCCTGGTTTGGAAGGAGGGTCAGGAATTTTGGGGGTGCCTGGTGTTGTTGAGTCTCCTCTTTTGGAGACTAAACCCCCCCGGCTCCCTCGGCCGCTCCTCACCAGCCGAGTGTTTGAGACCCTGCCCCGCTCCTCTGGGTACGCTCAGCGCCTCGGTGTCCTTTTAAAAGTGCAGGGTCCGGGGCTGGACGAGGTGCAGCTCCCTCAGACTGGCAATGTTTTAAGGCAGGACCGGCCGCCTCGGGGGCGGGACAGCCCGGCCTGCCCCATCGCCTCGCCCTGTCTCCGTCCCATCCCCGCCCTATCCCCGCCCCATTCCCTCCCCATTCCCTCCCCATTCCCGCCCCATCCCCGCCCCATTCCCGCCCCATTCCCTCCCCATTCCCGCCCCATCCCCGCCCCCATTCCGCCCTATCCCCGCCCCATTCCCTGCCCCATTCCTGCCCCAGCCCGCCCCATTCCCGCCCCTTGGCGGCCTGGGGAGCCGGGTCTGGGTAAGGAGCAGTCCCAGAGGTGGTGAGGGGGGCAGAGCAGCTCTCGGAGCCCGTGAGGGGAGCGGGGAGTGAGGGGAGCGGGGACGCGGATGAGTATGAGGAGTTATCGGACACGGAGCTGCTGGAGAGAGTCCAGAGGAGGCCCCGGAGCTGCTCCAGGACTGGATCCCTCTGCTCTGGAGCCAGGCTGGGAGAGCTGGGGGGGTTCCCCTGGAGAAGAGAAGGCTCCAGGGAGACCTGAGAGCCCCTTGCAGGGCCTGAAGGGGCTCCAGGAGAGCTGGAGAGGGACTGGGGACAAGGCATGGAGGGACAGGACACAGGGAATGGCTTCCCACTGCCAGAGGGCAGGGAGAGATGGGATGTTGGAATTGCTGGCTGGGAGGGTGGGGAGGCCCTGGCACACGTTGGGCAGAGAAGCTGTGGCTGCCCCTGGATCCCTGGAATTGTCCCAGGCCACGTTGGAGCACCCTGGGCTGGTGGACCAACCATGGCACGGGTGGGACTGGATGGGCTTTAAGGTCCCTTCCAACCCCCCTGCCATGGGCAGAGACACCTTCCACTAGGCCAGGTTACATAGTGGTTACAGCAGAGAGAACTTTACAGTTGTTGTAAAACTGTTTGAAATTTTCTGTAAATAGTTTTATGTGCTACTTATAAATATACTTACAGTTTATTACAGTTATCTACTGATATTTTGACAAACAGCTGCTTTCCTTGTGGAAATGAGTGAGATATTATGAAACATTTCTCGCTCAGCCAGTCTTATTACTCACTGAAATTAATTTTCTTACTTCTTAACCCTCCCTGTGCTGCTTGTGCAGTTGCCACTTGGGTCAGCTGGGGGCTGGAGAACTAATTCACTGTGTTTGCAATTCCTATTGTTTTCTTCAGCACACCAGACCATAATGACCACTGACTAAGTGGTGGTGTAAGGAACAAAAGAACTTCTTAGTGTTTATTAATATCTCCAGTTCAAATCAGAACAATTCTTTTAGTTTTTGGCACCCCGTTAAAAACGGAAACCTCTGGACTTAGAGATTTGGGACTGCAGCTGAGTTTTGGAAGTCTAGGCTTGGGAAGGAAGGGCTGAATTTGTTTTAGGGGCACAGGGTCTTTACAGAGTGTGCAGAAATATTTTGGCAGTAATGGGGTGGGTAAAAAAAGGCAGCAGAGCATGTTCAGTAGGGAAATGGCCAGCACCTGTAAACCAAAGCTACCTAAACCCCAAGTCCAGGATAGAAAGTGCCTTCTTCTACCTCCTATTATCACACTGGGTTCCCATCTCTCTGCTGGAGGAGCTGTGACTGCTGCCAGCATCTTTCCAGAGGGATGTTACCCACATATTTACTCTCCTTGCTTAATGGGAGTTGGGAAAAAATTGAGACAAAATTGTTTCGGACAAAGTTATTTAAGTCCTTAAGTTCCCAGGAAGAAGGGGTATTATTCTAATTTAAAAAGGATGAAATAAGTAAGAACAGAGCTTTAAAATAAATCTGTAGCATGATAGGTTTCCATCTGAGGTTTGTTTTGTGCTTGGAGCTTGTATCTGGAGAACTTTACCTGTTTTTCACTTTAGGAGCTCGAGTCTTCATTGGAGAGCACCAGCTGGCTCATGCTTGTTGTGTTTTTTATTTTCTAGAAGAAATCTAGGCAGAACAAGGTTTTGTGTTTTGGAGTGCTGAGAGGCCTCAAAATCTGAAAGCAAAGATTTACCATTTAATTTTTCTTTTTTTTTGAAGAATGCTTCTGTCCAAGTGTTACTGTAATTCACTGCAGGTTTGAAAGGAATGCTGCCCAGGATTCCTGGCTGGTGCTGATTGTTACTGTGCACTTACCCTATGGATCTGAGCTTGTACTTTGAAGGTGCTGCCTCGATCCAGTGGCTGAGCTGTGATTTTATCCCCCTGTTGGGGGAGCTAAATGAGGTGTGAGCTGGGCTGTGACAGCCCTCCATCTGCCCCCTGTGCTGTAAGTAATCCTGCCCCTCTCCCTGAGCAATTCAACTTGTTTGCTGTTGTTTTTTCTTGCAGTGTTGCCCCGTGGGGACTGTCCCTTCAGGGAGCTCTGGGAGCCACCCAAAGGGGTGGATGGAGCTGAGCCAGAGTTACAGCAGCTCTGCTTTGGACTATTCAGAAGATACCTTTGAGTCCTTCAGCGAGGAGGAGATCAAACCATCTGGCTCCTGCTGTCCCCCAGAGGATTGGGAGGGCTCAGATGTGTTGGAAAGCACGTCATGCTTGGCAGGCCAAGGTCATGCAGGTATGAAGAGCTTTCCCTCCCAGACACCTCCTTTCCCAGCCTCCCAGCAGTGCTCTGGGGACTGGAACCAGCAACAGGAACATGTGAAGATGGCCCACAGGGTTCCTGCCGTGCAGAGGAGCAGACCCTGGGTGTGCTGACCAGCTCTGTGCTCCCAGGATTCGCCAGCAGCTCCGTGTGGAGCGATTGTGACTGTGGAAAGCCTCCCTCTGTAATCTCCTGATGCTGAAATTCTGTTGGCATCTTAAAAAAAAAAAATTCTGCGAGTTGTCTTGACTGAGTTACCACATCTGAAAAGTAGCTGGGCCATTAAAGAAGTCTTCCAAGGGAAAGCTCCAGGGTTTGAAATACTGAGGAAGGCTGGATTACCCACCCAGCCTGGCCCTGAGCACTCCCAGGGGTGGGGCAGCCTCAGCTTCTCTGGGCAGGGAAGAAGCTGCATTAGATGAGGGATAAATGCCCTGATAGGTTTTCTTTTCTCTCTGTGGGGTTCTCTGTCATTCTCCTTTTCTCCGAGTTTGACGTGGTAAATCTTGTGAGTACTTGTAGAGATGAATAATCTTTTAATTCAGTTTGGGAGCTTGCAGCATATATAAACTTTATAGCTTTAAAGATTAGCTACAACACTTTTAATGTGTTTTTAAAGGTAGTGTAAACAAGATTTATTTTAATGTCTGTTGGCTGTTAGTTTTGTGATCTGGTTCTGTTCAGTTCAGCTTGGTCAGCTGGCATATGCCAATATGTAACGTTAATTATGTATTATAATATCTATTTTATATATCATAATTATATATTATATAATAGATAATGTTAATTATAGTTACTGACTGAGGTTTCATATTGGGAAGCTGTTTCTTTTCCTGCTTCAGACAAGTCCAGTAGAGATGTTCCTCCTGTCCCTCATCCATCCAACATTTTACTTGAGATTTGCTCCACTCTGCAGTAATAACTGGCACCATTATCATTAGGAATCCTTTAAAGATACTTTTTAAGCCTGAAATTCCAACTGTGGAGGCCAAACTTTGCTGTTAAATACATATCCATGAATGTAAACGCTGTTTATCGGAGCACAAATTCAGCACTAGAGATCAGTGCTTCAAAAATGGGAATACAGAGGTGATCGTTGTCTTGCTGTCAATTCACGATACAGTCCTATAATTGAGCACTGTCTGACTTGTGTTTTTTGCTTAAAATTTTTGTAGTTTTACAAATGATATGTTTTAATCCCTTTTTTTTTTCCCCTGGAAATATAAAAAGATTCTTTAAATGTCTAACGATTGAAATCCTTATTTCTGACATCAAGGAACACATGCTAGGAGTAATCCTTACTGTGTACACAGAGGTTTCTTTAATAAGTGTTACCACTCTTTATCTTTACCAGGTTAATATTTCATAAAATCAGAGTCTTCTGAATGCTCCCAGTTAAATGAGAAACCGGGGAATAATTCACAGAGAATTTTTTGGGGGGGAATTGATTGCTTTCTGTGGTATATATTTTCCTGAGAGCAGCATATATAAATCGTAAAACCCACAGAAAGCCTGTCATGCTGCTCCTTCCACAGGGACATGTTATTTCCTTTGTCTAAGCCCATGGAATTTGCTGATAGAACCCTGAAATCAGAGCAGGGAGATGAAGTGCTCCCTGTTTGGAGTTGGGGCCATGCCATGTGCACCTTGCTGTCACTGGCAGGGACTTCTCAGCCCTTCCAAGTGTTTTGTCTTTTCCCAGCCCTTTGCTTTCACATCTTCGTGTCTCCTCAGTTCCTACAGAACTGGAGTTCCCACAATCCCAGAATGTTCTGGGTTGGAAGGGACCCACAAGGATCACACAATCCAACTGGAACAAGCTGGAGAACAAGGGGCTGATAGAGAATTTTCATTTCCCTTGTGCCACCTGATTTTGCACTTGGATCAGTACCCTGAGACAGCTCAGCTGAGCTCCCAAGAGCGTGTGGCCACAAAAGAAAGGGCTGCAGATAACTGATGGGGCTGAAGGAGGGAGAGCAGATTACTGTGACGTTACAGATCAAATGGGGTGTGTGAACAGGCTCCCATTTTCTCAGTGAATCCTGCTTCAGTGGGGTGATGAGGACTGAGCAGTGGGAGGGATTTTAAGAGAGAAAAGCTTGTTTAGCTGAAATCCCTGGTCTCATCTGTGTATTCCTGTGGCTTGGGGTTTCTTTTCCCTCACCAGGGCAAAGTGAGCTGTTGCAGTGGAGCATTGTTTGCGTTTCTGCACTCCTGCTTTCCTCACAAGGTGTACCCAAAGTTGCCTTTTTTTCACTGCAGAGGAGCAATCTGAAGGAGTGGATTCTGCAGCTCTGGAAAGAGTTGCCATAGGAAAATGGATGGATGCCATGGGAAGTTGGAGAGATCTAAAAATTAAAGAAGCTGAGGTTAAGCAAGACAACTCTGTCATCAAAACTCATGCTGGTGAGTTCAGCTGCTTCAGTAGAGGTTGTAATCATTTCTTCTGAGAGGGGATGTAAACTTTAACTAGATTTAAATTTTATATACAGGCTATTAAGCCAGATAATTAGCTGGGTAATTAAATACAAAGTTTCTCTTTTAGGCTTCCTTGGAAAGCAGTTTGTCTCCCATGCACACATAGCTTTGATGCTCCTGATATCTTGGCATTACCAAGGGATGCATTATCACAGAATCGGGATAAATACATTAAAAAATGTACCCACATTTTAAATTTAACTGTAATCCTCACATTTTACTGCATGGACTGTTAAGTTTTTTTTCTCTCCAGATTTCTCTTTCAGCTCCAATACCAGTACAGGTATTAGAAGTGTGGAGTTTTTCCCTCCAAAATAAACATGACTTTGGAATTTATTGCGTGAGATGTTTTTCCCCTGTTAATCAACTTTGTGGATTATTGAGTTACCTGTTTGCCCTGTTTTAATTCCCTTCCCAAGCTGAGGGAGGCAGCAGGGCACCAAGTTTGGCCAGAACAACGGAGCAGCTTTACCCACCACAATGATGGAGTGTGTGGAGGAGGAGGAGAGGGGCAGGGAGGAAGGAAGAGGATGCCTTTCCATGTACTGGTTACACAAGCAACTGTGAGAGCAGATGGTGGGATACAAGTCCTGCTAAAGTCTCTCTCAAAAGTGTGTCAGAGATGCTATTTTTAATTAAAAAAAAAAAAAAAGAGCAAGAAAGCTGTAATTGAGCAAAAAATTAGTGGAAGCAGACAGGGAATCTTCCTCAGTCTGTGTGTTCATGGGAAGTGAACAAGCTCAGGAGTTTTGTATGTCACCTGTAAGACTGATTAACCAGGAGATCCTCCTGCCTGGGCACTTTGTGGCACAAACATCCTCAAACCATCCTAGAAAAACAGGAGCTAAGGTCATTTCTAGGCTATTCTTAATTGTTGAGCTCACTGCCAGCAGTGGTGAGTCAAAGCTGTGAGTTCCTGACTCATCTGCTGCATTTATCCTTGTGTTCCTGCTTTCCCAAGGCTGCCGTGCAGGCTTTTGGTAGAGCAGCTCATCTGTAGTAGAGAGGCTTGTCCTGGCCAGCTCCTCAGAGCTGATGTTCCTAAAATACCTCAGAACCTGGGGCTGATTCATGGAGAAACTGGAAGGGCGCCGAGGAGCTCCAGAGTGGCTGAATGAGGAAGGAACCACACTTTGAGGCTGAGGATGTTTTCCATCTCTACTTTCCCTTGGAAGTTGCACTTGCGAGATTTTACTCATAGAATCACTTCCAGATTTTTGTAGTTCTACAGAAGGGAATGTTCTGCCTTTGGTGTGTGGATGCTGATGGCTAAGGAGAGGCCTTGAGCAGTTCTGTGTCATTCTCTAGTGCTGATTTATGGAGATGTGTTGCCTTCTGCCTGTGCTGTCCCTTGGCATTGTAACAGCAGTGCTCCCAACCACATCAACAGGAAGAGCACAAAATGTACTTCATGCTTGTCTGTGTTATCCCCTCATTCAGCAGCAGCAACGATACTTTAGCCATGGACAGCATTTACTGCAGAATATCAACATACAAATGAAATAAAGCAGAGCAGCTTTTGCTCACTGGCACCTACAACTGCCTCCTTCTCTTTGACTCAGCCACTCAGTGCTCAGGAGCTCCCAAGCCTTGTACTGTTTTAGCAACTTAGAGATTTTTTTAAAAAAATATAATAGAAGATGAGCTCACAGAACTAGATTTGCTGCACAGTGAGTCCCCTCAGTACACTCAGCAGAGTGAATTATGTGTGCACTGAGCATGCAGGGTACTTCTGAATTGGTCTTCTTTGTAATAAACCCTTTTTTTCTTATCTCTATCACTAATAGGGAGGGAAAAAAAAGTTCTGGTTTGCCTATGGAAATGTCCTGGAATGTGATTCTTATTTCTTCCTAGTTTTCTTTGTGGGCTGAAAGAAGAAAAACCTGAATGCTGGCCTTGGTAGAAGGGAGAAATTTTTGTCATAGGTCTCTTTCTCTGTCCTGTTCTCTGTCCCTCTTCCCCCGGAGTTATTAGGCAAAACGTATCACCACATGACTCTAAATCCCCAGTTCCATAGAGATGATTCCAAAGATCATTAGTCATCTTTAAAATTTACTCAGCAAGCTGCAATTCTTCAACTTGGATCTGTCTGAAAATTCAAGTGGGGCTTTTTCACCCCGTGAGTGGTGCTGGGCTCACAAGTTTGATCTCACCTTTGTAATGTGTCTACATTAAATGCTTTGCTTGTTTATTTTCCACTGCACCATTGCTGTCAAAAGTGAGAGAGCGTGAGATGTTAATGTGAGTTATTTGGAGGCCAAGAAATGTTTGAGCAGCATCAGTTTTGTGGCTCAGGTACAGTTCAGTCACTCAGTCGTTATTGTTACTGTGATTGTGCTGTCAAGCTAAAAGTGAAAAAGGCACTGAGATTCCAGACTTGTCTTCTGATTCTGTAGTTAAGTAGAAGTAACATGGGCTGGATGTGGAAATTCCAACCAGCAACACTTCATTGGAAACCCTGCTCTGGAGCCAGGCTGGGAGAGCTGGGGGGTTCCCCTGGAGAAGAGAAGGCTCCAGGGAGACCTGAGAGCCCCTTGCAGGGCCTAAAGGGGCTCCAGGAGAGCTGGAGAGGGACTGGGGACAAGGCATGGAGGGACAGGGCACAGGGAATGGCTTCCCACTGCCAGAGGGCAAGGAGAGATGGGATATTGGGAAGGAATTCTTGGCTGTGAGGGTGGGCAGGCCCTGGCACAGGTTGCCCAGAGAAGCTGTGACTGCCCCATCCCTGGAAGTGTCCAAGGCCAGGTTGGACAGCGCTTGGAGCAACCTGGACTAGTGGAAGGTGTCCCTGCCCGTGGGACCAACCCAAACCATTCCATGATTCTACAATGATTCACTGTACTGGAGGAGTTAAATTTGCTTTAAATTCCTATTTGTGAAAAATAACCCAATAGTTCAGCCTGGTTAGGTCAGTTCTGTGTTACCTGCAGGGATCTTTCACAAACTGTTTGCTGTCAGCACGTTACCCTGACCTGCTGCACTCAGCTGTACAAATCACTTTGGATGATCATGAAGGTCTTAAGATGCAGAGGGAAAATCTTTCTGAAGAGTAGTTATCAATTGCTGGCTTGCACAATTCTCTCTTTTTCCTTTTTTTCTTCTTAAAATAGAGTATCAGTAGAGCATAACAGCAAAATGCCTGCCAATTTTCCTATTAAATCAAAGTTAGTTTCAAAGGGAAAGGAAACTCAGGAAAGACTTTCCCTCTTTCACACCCTCCCCTCACAGATTTAAAATGTCACAGAAAGCCAAATTTATTTAGGTCACTTAGTTACAAAGCTCCCAGCAGGGTTTGGGGTGTAGACATGGGGATTAACTTATCTCTGGTGGTACACACCAAGGCTTTCTGTCATCACAGCAGCTTCTTGGGCCAGTTTGGGGCTTTACTTCCGAAATATTCCATGTTTTGTGACCTTCCTGCTGCATGAGATGTGTCTCTGACTCGATGCCTGTCCTGGTGGCACTTCTGCTACTCCTGTCACCTCTTCTGCCTCCTCCCTCCTGCAGTCACCATCCCTCATTTAATCATTCTCGTTACTGTGATTGTGCTGTCAAGCTAAAAGGAAAAAAGGCCCTGAGATTCCAGACCTGTCTTCTGATTCTGTAGTTAAGTAGAAGTAACATGGGCTGGATGTGGAAATTCCAACCAGAAATGGAAACCCTGCTCGTAAAGAGTTCATTAATGGAACTGGGAAAGAGGGAGTTTCTTCCAAAAGCTGTGGATTGTGCAGGGATCTGCCCACTGTCTGCTCCCTGCTGCTGCTGCAAAGTGAAGAGCGCGTGGGGAGCATTGGATGGGCACCAGGACAGTGTCCTTGTGGAACAGGGATCGGCACTGCAGGGATCCTCTGTGGGCACAGGGCAGGGACATTTCAGTCTGCCACCCCAAATGGAGAAGGATCTGAGATGGAAAGGGAGGAATATGTGAGAGACACCAGGAATAAAACCAGGCAGTGCAGAGCTGAAGGACAAGTGAACCTTCTCCACCTGGGAGAAAACTGGAAACTGGGGTCAGTGTGCAGAGAAAAACAAACTTTCCCCAATTTAACTGTGTGCTGACTTTTCTCGGGGTTTTTTTGTTCCTATTTCAGAAAAATTATCATCCTTGATAATTTTTATTCTCTCTGAGATTACTGTTAAATGGGAATTAATATTAAGAAGTAACTTCAGGAACGAGTTGTGCAGGGAGATTTAAAAATTGCTGTTCTCTTTGCTGGTGTTTCTTTCTGGTGTCTGTAGGTGCAGATGAGCAAAGCACAGGATTCATGCATTATTAGAAACCAATTCTTAATAAAAATGCACTCCTGTATGTCAGGAGAACCTTAAGTGAATTAATTAGCCTGGTATTAAATTGTCACAGACCCCAGGGCTTTTACTTATGGCTTTGAGTACTTAAATGCTTTTGTTCTGGGTTTTCCTCCCCCCATAATGGTAACTTTTAAATTTTTTAATTAATTCTGTGTTCAGCATAAATGAACATGCCCCTATTTTTCAGTGTGATTAAACCCAGAAGTGGCTCATGATTTGCACTGTTTTACATTGCAATAGTAAGGAAAATCACCTGCTGACTGAAATGGTGGATTCCACACAAATGTTTATGATCCCACAAAGCAAATTTGTTTTCATTAAATCGCTTTTTAAGGTATTGCTTTTTCTTATTCATCTGTCTATAAATTATCACCATGTCTTTACCTACAGTCAGTTGGATATATCATCTTCTAAGGAGGAGTAAACTGCTCTGTGGTGCCTGATTGTGAACTTGTAGTTGTACTTAAATGACATATTTTCCATGTTATCCAGGAAGCAAAGCTCACTGACTCCTGCCTTGCCTCATTTTAACTATGGATCCCTTATCCCCTATAAACATCAGGTGCATTCCTGAAGAGATGCCCTTGCAGAATTCCACAGCTCTGGCTTGTCTTCTCAGGGCTGAATTCATCCCAGAGCATTTAGGGGCAGTTCTCCATTCCTGCTTTTTTAAGGCTCTGTGTTGTGGTTCTGCCAAGGTGTCCCATGGCACTGGAGTGCCAGTGGTTGTCACACAGGCACTGTGGAACCTGCAGGAGAAATAAAACTGAATTTAACCCTGACAAGGGGTAAAACAATGTGGAGGGATTGTTTAAATTCCATAATCAAATGAGGCAGTGCTGCACAGCCTCATTCCATGCTGATGCCCATGAAATACTGTATTGATTGTGGTTTAAGCCTGTGGAAAATCCCCCCCCAAAGCACTGAATGAAGTTGTAAATCCATCCCAACCCGCCCAGCTGAAGGATAATCTCGATTTTATTTATTTTTATGTGCCACTGGGAAGGATAAGAGGAGATGAGAGAGGGGAAGATGTTTTTTAAACAAGATCTTATAAAGAACTCAGGAAGTGATGGTTGAAGCTTTAGGGGAAAGTATTTTCTGGTGGAATTGCCTTTCCCCAGAAGAAGAAGTACCTGGCTGAGGTTGTAGGATCTGTCTGAGCTGTTCCAGAGTGACTTCCCCGGCCACTGCCTCTCATTTGTCTTATGAATTGCTCCTCAGAGCTCCCAGATGAAGAGCCCTCTTTAAATGTGAACTCATTTTGGTTGCAGTTCCAGGTAGGCAGAAGCCAAATCTGTGTGAGGCAGTTATTGAGAGGCAGTTTATTTAGTGTCCCAGTATTTAACTACTGATATTTAAGCTATGTCATTAGTAGCCTCATTCTTTCAGGTTCTCATCTCCTCCCCTATTTGGAGCTTATTCATAGAGACATTTATTGTTAAAGTTCCTACAGTTCTCACCCAGATTTTTTTATCTTTATTTTTATTATTTTTTTATATAGAAAATATATCTTATATAACATATATAATTGTGATGGTTTTGATCTAGGCCTTCCTGGTGACCAGTTTGTAACTAAGGAAGTGGCCAAGTTCCCAGTATTCCATACGATTTTTACGTAAACCAGAGTATAAGTAAGTTGGAGATCAGAGACCTCACTCTCTTTTCTTTTGGCGAGGTTCAGGAGCAGTGGGTCCTTGTGTTGGTCTCGCTTATCTAAAGCTGAGGCTGCAGTGACCGCTGGCCTGCCACGTGGGGGGTTCAGAGAGTGCTGGCTGTGTCTGCCAATCCTGCTTTTCTAAAGGACGTTGTTAGTTATTAGTATAGTTCTTGAGTTTGATCGAGTATACCTGTTTGGTGTCCCTTTTGTTCCCTTTTGTCCCTTTTTTTCCCCTTTCCCTATTCCTTCGGGGGGTGGATCCCCTTTTACTGTGTATATAGCATCTTAACTGTATATAACTGTAATTTACGTAAATATATATATTTTTTTATATAAGCAGCTTGACTTTGAATTCTTTAATTTTTTTTATATAGTTTTTTTACCTTTGCCCTAAAGGAAGAAGGGAAGGGGAAAGGGGGCTGCTGTCGTGACTTTTGGACATTTGGCAGGGAGCCAGGTCCAAACTATCACAATAATATATAAAGTATTGAATCTAAAGTATAATATATATAGAAATAGATAGAAAAGAATATATATAATCCATCCTAACCCACTCACCTGAAGTATAATCTTGATTTTATTTATTTTTAGATGCCACGGGGAAGGATAAGAGAAGATGAGAGAGGGAAAGATGTCCTTAAACATTATATTTATATAAAATGAAGATATAAATATATATACATGAAGGAAATATGTAAAATATAAATATATAATATGTCATTTCATACTAGATAATAAATAATTTATTATTCATATCTGTCATATAGCTAATATTTATATAGCCAATATTTCTATTTATATTTATTTTATAACTAGAATGGAATATATAGACATAGATAGATATAGATTTATAGTTAGATATAGATATATAGATATAGGAGGGAATTCTTCTCTTTCCTTGATAGAGTAATTGATGTTTTTGTTTTGTTGACTTATGCCTGACAGAAATTCCTGAGTTATTTGGTGGAGAACTGGATGCTCTCAGGTCCTTTTGCACCAGGAAGATAAATGGGATGAAGCAGCAGCTGAGCTCTGAGCAGCCAAACATGGGCAAGGCAAGGAAGCTGCAGGATGGAGTCCCAGCAGGGAAAACTGGGACCAGAGCTGCGAACTGCATCGTTCCTGCTCGGCTGATGAACAGAATCCTCCTGGAAAACACCAGAGAGACTGTTAAACAGGTGAACACCAGGGAGCTCTGGGCTAAAGCACTGGGTAATGAAGCCATGCCATGACCATCAAAGCAGGCAGAGCTCAGCGATGCCACATTCAGGCCTCTGAAAGAGCTTCTGGGCTGATACCCTAGCACTGATGGGTCAAATCATCCTCCAAAACTGCCTGCTGATAAAGTGATGATGTGTGTGACTGAGCCAGGCTGGGATCAGCAGTCACTGCACACACAGTAAGCCCTGGATCAGCTGAAGAAAAAGCCTTTTTTGCTGCTTATGTTGGTACCGGTTATTTATCAAATTATTCTGCAATTTATTTGCTGTGAAGTCTTTGTGATTCTAGGATTAAAAGAATTCCAAAGGCAAGCCCCCTGCTCCCAGCTTTCTTAGTTATTAGGCAATATTAAGAATTAGAGCAGGTCCAATAAAATCTTGGTGACCTCAGTCCCTTGATTAAGAAACATCTCTATCACCTTTACCCAATTTCAAGTGCTTTTCTTTTTCACCAGTCCAGTGGTTTTTCCCACCAGAGCATGGGCTTTTTGCCACAGCTCCTTCCCCCTTCTGTAAAAGTAATTAAAGTAATACTTTTTAAAGTAATACTTTAAATTCAGTTTTGGTGTGAAAATTATTTCTGTTTAAATCTGTCTGTTAAAATTATTTGGAGATTTCAGCCATCTGCATTGTTTCACTGCATTAACGTTAACTCACCTTCCAAATTTTGTAGAATTTTTGCTTCCTCTTTATTTTTCTAATATTTTATATTAGAAAATATATTTTCTAAGAAAAGTAGCTGCTCTGTTTGCTTCTGTCTTTACCTCCACACACATTTTTGTGCAGAGAAGAAGTCAAGGAAGAAGAGGACAGAGAGGCTTGAGATGTGACTTGCCAGGGTTGATTCTGCTGCTTTTGGAGCAGCTTCCTGTGTTTGTGTAGGCAGATGGAATCAGAGTCAATGAAATCAGATAAACCTATGGACATTTCACAAAAGCACAAGCACTGGCATTTGTGTCATGCTGTTAAATGCTCTTAAGTTTTCATGGTGGATGAACTAACACAGGGGTAGGCCTGGTTATCTTCCTAAGGGAACTGCAGGATTTTGTTTGTAGGATTTTATTCCTATTCTGCCTCAGAGCTGCATGTTTGAACTAATTGCTTCCCAGTTGATTTGCTCTTAGAATTTGTGAAGAGAAGCACAACCTGTGGCTGGTGCGGGAGGCCTTGTGAACACTGCCAGCAGAGGGACAGGCACGTAGAGATGGGGGAGTTATTGCTGACTAGGAAAGAATTTGCCTAAAAAGCCAGTTTTTGTCTTTAGACAGTCCCTCTATCTGTATTTTTATTGATCATTCTTAAGGAGTGCCATCTCACTGGGACAGACACTGCTCATTGCACCAAAGTCTCCTCTTCCAGGTGACAGAAGCTCAAATCCACGAGGCTTCTTCATGCCCTGACTGCCAGAAGAAGGAGGCAGAGCTGGCCAGGATTGCCTTTGTCAGGCAAAAAAAGACTCTGATGGAAAGTGCTTTAATCCAAGAGAAACTGGAAGAACAGATTTACTCCAGAGTAAGCAAATAATGTTAAAAAGATGTGTTAAATAATGTTTTATTAACATTCTGTAGGTGCTGCAACCAAGGGATCTGGAAGGCAGATTTCCCCCTGATTGCTGGCAGTGAGATCAGAGTGACCCGAATATTTTGGCAATTAATAAAATGCTTTAGGACCAGAAGAGTGACCAAATCATCTGAGCCTGCCTGATTTATGGAAGCTGAAGGTCATTCCCAGGATGTCCTAGAACTGGTTCCGGGTCTCTCTTGGTTTTGCTTTCTGATGGGCTGTACAGGACAAACTGGTAAATAAATTGGTGTGATAGCAGGTAACTGGGCCCACTCTGGTCTTCCTGGCTCATCCTTTGGGGTAGGAGCCTTGGAATAGGACCCCGCAAGATGTTATGGAGGCTGAGACCTTCGGGATACCCTGAGATTTCTTCTTGGAAAAACTGTTTTCTGTCTGTACCAGTGTCCCAAGGTTGAAGCTTTATTGGTGGGAAGTGCCTCTGGAGCGGATGGGAGGCAATGGAGCTGAGAGGTACAGAATTCCTTGAATCTTTCTGAAGGAAGAGCTCTTCTCTCCCTTCTTGAAAGGGATTCAGGTTGTTCCTGAGCAGTGAATGAGTAGTGCCTTCCTGAAGCTCTGAGACCTCTTCCCATGTTTGTGAGCAAGGTGGGAGTTTGTGTTGTACCACACATTCCCTTTTTTCCCTAAGAATTCCACTCTCCTGATTTTTGACTCTCACTCCATACCTAAGATTGAAGAACTTGTGTGTCAAGTGAAGCTTCACTTTTCTTCTCCTTGTTTTCCTCCCTGCTTCCCTCAAAGGCCACCTGCTTTTCCTTTCCCCTCCTTAGGGAAGAAACCTGCTTTGTGGAGCAGATCACTGGCCATGAATGTTTAAACAGGACCCTTTAAAACAGGACCCTTTAAACCCCTCCCCCAAATTGTGCTGCTGAAGTGCTGCCCACCCAGCTGCCTTTGAGGGGCTGGATGGAGCTGCAGGTCTGGGATACAGGACATGAGAAATGCCAGGAATACAAATCCATGTTTTCTTTCTGTTTCAGGACGTGCTCACACTTCTAGGAGAAGCCCTCAGAAGCTTTCCCAAACCTTCAGAGGATCCCAGGGCCTTGTGGCAAAGGCTGGAAGGTCAGAAAATGTAAGTCCTGAAAGTGGTAAAATGGCTCAAGGACATAAAGAGCTGGGAGAGTTGCACATGGAATACCAACTATTATGGATATAACCTGCTCTGGCAGTGATGAATTGGGTGGTGGTTTAATATTCCTGCAGGTGGAACCAGATATGTCCAGCATGTTGTGTCTGGGTTCTGAGTCAACTCTTATTTTTCCTAAATGCAAATGTTGTGATATCTTGTAATCCATCTCTATATGTTTTTCAAATTACAGAAGCCAAGAGTTTCTATTATTAATCTGGCAAGCAATAAATATTGTTTTTTGTGGGATTGCTGTGGGATTTCAGAGCAGCTCACAGCTGCTTCCATCAGTAAGAAAAATGACTGATTCTGTTTTTCGGGGCAGGAAGGTGTAATTACTGCAGTTCAGCTCAGGCTTTGCCCACTGTCTCATGTTAAATTGAAAGTGAGGGCCCTAGGTGGAGGAGAAAAGAAGCAGGTTGCAAAGTAACTATAGAAAGCAGTAAAATGAAAAGGGGTATTTATAGAAGTGAAATAATGAGACTATAACAGAATTTAATCAGCAAGACGGCGGATGGCAACAGGACGAGAAATGATAATAAATTAATCCTGGAATTGGTGGAGGAGAGGTGTCCAGGAGAGAAAAAACAACATGGATGAAAATTGGAATAAGATGCTGAATAATATTTTTGCCTTGGAATTTTTTGCAATTTTTCAAGATGACAAAGTCACTGTCTTTGAAAGAATATATCTGGGCTTCGGGACACATGCAAATAAAATGGCTTTGTGCTGGGAATCTCAGTGGGCTGGACAGTGATATCATCTTCCTAGTGGCCTCAAAAGCCTTAAGCTGATGTGTGGGCACAGCACCTTTGGGATCAGTGCTGGCAGCAAGAGCTCGTCTTGCCACTCCTGCTGGGACCCGGTGGCCTTGTGTGACCCACAAAGTTCCTGCCTCTCATCAGTCTCCAGCTTCCTGACTTTCTGTGCATTTTAGGTCTTTGGAAATCTTGAAGGAATATCCTTAACTGTGAACTCTCCCTGAATTTTTGTTAGAAAGCAAAGAGGATTAAATCTTCCAGTTGCATTTGATTTTTTCCCATTTTGGGACAAGAAAAATGCGTTGTTGAAGTTGGGTTTGTGTTTTCTCCCTGTGTAGTTTTTCCCTTCTGTGTGCTCTGTGTTTCTAAGAGTGCTGGAGGGCTGTTTAGCCTCTTGCTTTCCCTTCCCACAAATCAATGGAAAAACCTGAAGAGAAGTGCTGGATATGGAGGTGGGTGTGGGCAAAGTTCTGCCTCTTGGTGCTTAAAAAACCAGCTGGGAATGATTCCACTGGGAGCTGATCCTGAGTGGGTTAAACCCCCCCCCACACACAGAGCCCTGAGTTATTCAGAGCTGGTTGTTCTTGCTGCTTGCTCAGCTACTTGTTGTGGTTTCCTGCAGACAGGTTTAATAGTCGATCAGAAATGTTCCCCTAAGCTTGGCTTTCACTCTGAGCTGTCACTGCAGATTATATGTGGTTACCTGGGAATGAAGAAACTCTGCTGGTTTCTTCCTCTGGAATCCTCAGAAATATTGAAATCCCTTCCAGTCTCCCAAAGCTTTTCTTTCTGGATGCTCCATCACTGTTCCTTATTTGCTTAACCCTGCCCTCCCTGTTTCTCCCGAGCCTCTGGAATTCTTCAGCCATCTGCAAACATGAGGCCAAGGGCTCCCAGGGCTCCAGGTGGAGTCTCAGAAGGGCTGGCAGGCAAAGGAGCTGAATCCTCTGAAAGTGTCATTTTGTTGGTTTTGCCAACGAACACAGGTTTCATCCCTTGCAAAACCCACAAAAAGGGAGCTCCGGGACTCTTCTTAAGAATACAATCCATATATTTTGGCATTTTGCCTTTCATAGAAGCTTTGTAAAGATACTGAAATCCTTCTTTGCAGCTCCCATGGAGCCCTCCTGTAAAAGCCCTGAACTGTGAGTTATTTGGGTTAGGAGGCTGACAGTGTTTGTCTGTGGAGTAGTTGTCACGCTCACACACAGTGACTGCACAGCTCTTGTTTGTTTGCATAAATGTTACAAACACAGCTCAGGTAACTCCTCTGAAAAATCAAAGCAGATTTTGCTGCTGCCTCTTGGATGCATTTCCTGCTGCTCACTACACTTGTTTTGTTTTTTTTATCAAGGATGACTCCAAGATCTGAGTGTTTGCCTTCTGTTTTCTTGTAGCAGCTCTTAGAGATGTCCTATGGAATGAATGATCCAGGCCTCTAAATAATTTATTTTATAATCCTGCAGCTTTTGAGGCTTGAGAGATCCAAAAACTCTGACAGGGAAGATGTGGGAAAGAGAGTAGATCATGTCTTTCCCTTTTTTTTCCCCCCTCACAGGAGCTCCCCCTCCAGCAGCAGATTTTTCTTTTGATCAAAAGAAACCCTCTAAAACTCTGATCAAGGAATATTGATTCATCTGCTGCCTTGTTTGTGCTTGCTGGGGTATGAAAGGACTGTGGTGGCTCAAGGGGGATTCATATGGAAAACAGCTGTGGCTCAGCAACAAATCAATCTGCCTGGTAAAAATGCTTTGGAGCTTTATCTTTCTGGCCTTCATGCTGCACACACAGTTGCATTATTTAATCTTCTGAATGATTGGTGATGAGAGTTTATTGCTCTGAACTTTGTGCAAATAGAGGTTTATCACATTTATGTTGTGTGTATGCTGATAACCACTTTTGTGATGTTATGCTTTATAACTGACCCTTTGGAGAAAGTTGTATTCTTCAAATTAAAATCAGTTTTCCTGTGCACTACAGCAAGGGAATTTTCACTTCCATTTGCCTTTGCTGCTGCTATGAAAAAAATTAGCCTGGCTGTCAGGCACAGTCATTCTGGCCATCTCTTGGACCATCTCTTTGTATCTCCTCTAGGATAAACTTCCATCTCCATCCCAACAGGTCTGAATGGGAATGAAGTTTTAGTGTAATCAACTTGCCTGGATCTAAGCTGGGAACAAAGATGAAATGGTCTAGTGGAAGGTGTCCCTGCCCATGGCAGGGGTTGGAACTGGCTGAGCTTTAAGGTCCCTCCCAACCCAAACCAGTCTGGGATTCTGGGAAATTTAAATGATGAATTGCTGCTACTGAGGAAATATGTTGTGGTCCTACTGGTGCAGTTTAGAATCAGAGAACAGTTTGGGTTGGAAGGGACCTTCTAAAGCCCATCCACTTCTCCCCCTGCCATGGGCAGGGACACCTTCCACCAGCCCAGGCTGCTCCAGACTGACCTTGGACACTTCCAGGGATGGGGCAGCCACAGCTTCTCTGGGCAACCTGTGCCAGGGCCTGCCCACCCTCATTGTAAAAAACTTCTATATCTAATCTAAATCAACCCTCCTTCAGTTTCAAACCATTTTCCCTTGTCCTGAGGCAGCAGGTCCTGCTGGGAACTTTGCCCCTCTCTTGTAGGCCCCCTTCAAGTGCTGAAAGGCCACAGGGATTTTTCCCTGGAACCTTCTCTTCTCCAGGCTGAACAATCACAACTCTCTCAGCCTTTCCCCATGGGAGAGGTTCTGCAGCCCTCCAACCATCTCCATGACCCCCTTACATTAATCCTGAACCCTTTCCCTGAAGTTTTACTAAAAACTGGAACACTTCAGGCCACCCTGGGGTCACTCCCTGCCCTTCCATAAACTCATCTCCACTCCTGGCGTTGGGCTGTGGGGAGAACCAGGTGGGTTTGAGTTCGGGTTTTTCCCATAGCCAGTTGGATCAGCTTCCAAGAAGAGGAGCTGAACCCTTTTACCCATATTGGGAGCTTGACAGAGAATTTTAAGTTGGTGGCACCAGGGACAAGGTTTTGCTGCTGGAAGGGATTGTGATCCCAGTTCCTCTTCGGTAAAACCCCCGAGCTGCAGCTTTCAGGGCAGTTATCCCACGTCATCCATAGATCCTCCAGCAAGAGCTGCAGTGCTTTCAGCCCCGTATTTTTAAAGCATTTTCACACATATTTGCATTCTTCAAAGTGTAATTTTATTACCACTCAGTTTGATTTTCAGAGAAGGAGTTTTTATTGTCTCCACTCAGGGAGACACTGTGTATGTGCAGATCACCCCCTGCCCCAGGGCTGGTGCTCTGAATGCCACTGGCTTTAAAAAAACGGGCTGGAATCTGGGCAAAACAGAGATTAATCTTAGAAATACTGCATTTGCATTGTTTTCATGTCCCTTTTCCCTCCATGACTGACTCTGCAGATTTCTGGCTGTGCTGACAGGATCTGGAGGGGGGAGGCTGGGACATGTGTTGGGGTGGATCCCTTATGTCAATAAGGCACAAGGTCCTCCATCTTTTAAATGACCTGTAGAACTGATCATGGGATTTAAAAACAAAAAAACCCAAACATTTTCCAGCTTCTGGGCATGGATATTCACTGCTTGTTTATTCATGTATTTATTTTGTAATAAAATAGTACTGTTCTCACAGACTGGTGTGTTTGACCCATAAATACCTTTGTAAAATATATCTGTAGCATGGAACAGAACCTTTAGAATATTCTGTGAAAATTCATATTTTTAGTTGGTAGCACTTTCAGAACATTTACATCTTTCATCTTGACATTTTTAAATAGAACTTTTTTTTTTTTTTTTTTGCCTACAGAAGTAAATTTACAGCATCATCACAGTATTATAGCTTGTTTAAAAATACACACAGCGTTACTGGTAATTGCAAGCAGGTTATATCCTTGAGCAGGGGGCTTGGGGGTAACTTTACATTGTTTCTACTTTAAAACAGTTACATCTATTAATATTACACCCATCACTTTGTTAGAAAATATGACTTAGAGATGCTACTCACAGATAAATCTGCCGTGTCTCTGTGACATGACATTACAGGCTCTGCAAATAGAAACACACTGGGGAATGGTTGGTTTAAAAAGAATTGGAAGCCTGGTTAAAAAAGGGTGGTGGTCCTGCTCTGCCCTTGGGAAGCTGGGCTGGGTGTCCTTGATCCACTTGTGGCTGGAATGCCACGAGCACCTCTCAGGAAATCCTGACTTAAATTTGGGGTTTGGTCCTGCTTGGATTGTCACTGAAGACAGGAGCTGTTCTCCAGGACCAGGTGCTGTTCTGAGCAGCTGGGAATGGGATTTGCTCCAGACTCCAGGGGGATTTCAGCTCCTTCAGCCCATGGTTGTGTCAGTGCAGGACAACACAACTGCACTGGGTTGGATCAGTTGGTTTGCATGGCCCGAAATCTGACCTTTATTTAGTGGATTTTTGAAAGAGTCTGAGCAGCAGATTTGAATTTACTGGTTTAGTAAATACACAGAATGATGGTTAGAGCTGGGCAGGACCTAAAAGCCCATCCAGTGCCACCCCTGCCATGGGCAGGGACACCTTCCACTGGCCCAGGGTGCTCCAGCCTGGCCTTGGACACTTCCAGGGATCCAGGAGCAGCCACAGCTGCTCTGGGCAACCTGTGCCAGGGTCTCCCCATCCTCCAGCCAGGAATCACTGCCACAGGTTGCCCAAAGAGGTTGTGGAGAGATTAAAATGACAAAGGAGATTAGAGATAAGCAATTGTGTTGGTTTTACTTTGCACAAATGAGACTAAATATATAAATATATATATATATATGTATAATAAAGCTATAGGAAATCTCCAAACTGCTAACAACTCTTAGAAATGAGATAAAACAAGGATGTATTTGTTTGGAAATCTCATAGTTGCAGTTCTTTCGTTATTTTCATTTCCAGGTAATTCAAGAGTTCTTTGTGGTGGATCCTTTTCTTTCATTTTTTTTTTTTTATGAAACAAGTCCAGGTGTGCTTTGGCAAATGCTCTTTTCGTGGTCTTTCTGATACTCCTCTTGTGCCTTCTGCAGTCTTCTCCCTCTGAGTTTCCACTTGTGGAAGCAGTAGGTTATTAGGGATGTCATCAGCAGTGAGAAGATGATGGTCAGCACGACGATCAGCGCGATGGTGGACGACAGGGACCCCTCCAGCTGCTCACTCTCAGTGTCCCTTGTTGTATTTAACTTAGCAAAGTTCTCATAGTCTGGTGAAGCCAAAAGTGCAGGTCCAGGGACCTCTTTGAACCTGGGCCTCATTGGGATTCAGGAGCTGTTCTGGGAATTCCCAGAGAAGCAAGGACTACGATTCCCTTGGCACCTTTGTCATCCAGGAGATGGTTTCCTCCTCAGGTTCTCCAGGCATGGATGAGATCAAAAGTGTTCTTTCTTTTGGAAGGCAGGGGTTGCAGGAAGAACAGCCTGTGGCACAGAGTTTACAGCACAGCTCCTCTGTATCCCAAGTCAGGAGGTCAGGAATGTGTTGTCTCCTTCACCAAGGGTCGCCCAGTGCCAGTCTGGGATTCTTTGTGTTCTGCAGGAGAGAATTGGAGGAAATCAAATCAATATTCCAGTAACATTGCGGTGGCAGAGCTTATCCTTGGACTCAAGGCACTGCAACAAGTGGACTTTATATCTTAGGAATTGCTGCCCTGAGAGGTGTTTCTTTTCTTCTCCCAGATATTCCCAAAAGAGGGTCAAATCAAAGGCAGGGTTTGTGACTTGGATTTGCTCACATCACACTCAGGAACAAAATCAGCTGCAAACAGGAGCTCTCACAAAGAGGTTTGATTCCCCTCCTCTCTGATATCTACTTTCAGACAGGGCTTGTCTGGAGAAGGGTTTGGAAGGGGGGTTTTTGGCCTCCTTATCCTGGACTTGGGGAGGTGCCCTCACTACAAATCTGGAGCCTGGAAAAGGGCCCTGGGTGAGAAACGACACAGGATTATTGAAGAGGTCCCCTACAGGCACTGAGCTGTAATTTAGAATTTAAAACCCCTCCTCTTTCCTAATTCTGCTGGAATTTCAAACACATTTAAGTAATTTGGCTTTGATACGTGCTGTGTGTGACAAATCCAAAATATTTCCTCATCTGAGCAGTTCTCAAGGGCTGCTCTGCCCTCCCACTTCCCTCCCCTCATCAAAATCCCCTTTCAGACTTCAATCTGAGGAGGAACAAAGCTGGGCTGCTCTTCATTCCTGCTCCACTCAGGCTTTGGCCCCGGGATATTTTACTTTGAGGAGCTCTAAGCACGTTCAGGGCTATTTATTTCAAATAACAGCTTGCTCTGAATCCCCTCCACCCTCCTCCCAAATGTTTGGAGGCCAAAGTTAGGTTTCAGAGATCTTGGGAGTGGAATTGTTTATTCAGAGATGCTCTGTTTGATGGCGTGCAGTTGTAATTCACCCTCTTTAAAGAAATGGGAGGTTCATCCCACTCAGGCTAGCAGAGAACTGAGGGTCCCTCTTACTAATTAACAGCCCCTTCCTGGTAGCAATAATGACTGTTTATGTAGATTAGCACTCTGTTGATGTGAAAGGATGTAAATAGCAGTTCTTGCCAGTTTGGAACAATATGTTCCCAGAGTCAGAAATAAATGTGGCTTTTACAGAAAGTTTTAAAATCAGATTTTACTGTAAATTGAGGTGTTTGTGGAGCTGATTGAAAGTTCATTTCACATAAGGGACCAAGTGCAGTGTGGCACATCTTTGATGAATGTCTACGTGTGGCACTGCTGGCAAGTCATAGATCAGGAGGGGGTGACAGCAGAATATTTTAGTGCTCCTGGGCTACATATTCAACATCTTTCTCAAGTAGCCTAAAGAAAGAAACTGCAATAAAAGAACTTGAGAAACTGAGAAATGCCCCCTCTGATTTATGGAGCAGCCAAGTGTCCACCACCCACGTGGCAGTGCAGGAGGGGGGAATGTCTCAGTGCTAAGAGAAATCAGATCTTGTCATACTTGCCTGAGCCTGTCTCTCATTTCATCTGTATCCACAGCTATCAGAGTCCTGTGGGGACAATAAAATGTGAAGGATCTGAAGTCATTAGGCAGCTGGTGCTGGACTGGACTGCTCAGGAAGGTGCAGGGGTGTCATCTGTAACTCCCTTTCTCCATCAGCTCAGGGATGTGGATTTTCAAAAGCAAAACAGGAATGCTTTTAAAACCTTAAATCTGCAAAGTTCTGCTCGTGCTCCAGCTGAATTTTGGGGTAGAAGCTGCTTTTTTGGAGAAATCTCTTCCAAACAGTGTGTGAGGGCTCTCGTGGTGGCTCCACCACCACCTGCCACCCTGCCTTTGCTTCCCGAGGGCAGAGAATGCTCCTTCCTTGGGCACCGATGGGTGAGCCAGGATGGCAAAAGGGGTGGGAGAACCCTCAAAAACTGCAACCCATGGCTGCAGGGCCCCTCCTCCCGCCTCTGCAAGGGCCAAGAAGGAAGTTCTTTGGGAAAACTCTTGATTTTTCCTGGGAATCATCATGCTTGGGTGTCAGCTGGAAGTAGAAGGGCTGTTTGGGTGAACAAGGAGCTCCTGACACAGCCCCAGCATGGAAAGGGATCATGCAGGGTGATAATCCAGGTCCTTGGGATTCCAGACTGGAGAGGTGGACACAGAGGAACCTCCTGAAGTTCAACCAGGGGGTGTGCAAAGCAAAGGAAACTTTCCCTTAACAACCACCCCCCTCCAAAACATTCTTCCTTGTCCATGCTCTGATTTAATTCAAAAGCAGAGAATAAATAATCCTTCCTGTGTTTTGTTGGTTTTGTGTGAGTCATAATTCTTCAGTGTATTTGGCCTGAGCACTGCAAGCATGCAAACCAGGATTTCAGGCCTGTGCACATTTAATTCCCATTAACATTTAATAAAATATCTTAGAAAGATTCAGGTATTGACAAAAGTAATGGGACTGTTTTGGTTTTTCTTTTTTTTCTTGGTCTGGAAATACTGATTTGTTAGAATAAACTTGTGAAAGCACATTAGAAAATCTGTGAGTTATATTTTTAAAGCTTTTAATGAAATACTGATGTTTGAATTTGATACTTATATAAACTCAGGCTCTCGGTGTAGAACATGGATGGACTTCCCTACCCTGGCTCCTGTCTTTTTGTTTTAGCACAGCTCAGTATAAGGTGGGGAGGACAAAACCTGCTCCTTGTTTTCTAATATCCTTAGGACAGGCATTGCCTTTCCTTTTATTCTCCAGGCTTGACCTCTGGGCCTCTGAATACTCCAACAAAGGAGAGAGAAATAGATTTCTGAGGGTTTTTTTTTTTTATATAGTTTTTGAGGGTGGAAAGTATGAGTGGGTTGGATGCAATTTATGTGAGAAGAACAAAGCAAATTACAGTCACAAAAATCAGTGTCTCAAGATTAATTCAGGTTATTGGCACCTGTCAAAAATCTGAATTACTGAAAAGAGACAAGAATGTTCACCAGCAGCTTTTTTATTTCCCTGAGATTCCTCTCTTTTCTTAGGGCAGCCCTTGCCTCTGTTTGCCAGAGCCTGGGTAATGATGATGTTATGGGTGTTAGATTAAAGAGAGTAATGAGGATTTGCATTGGATACCTAAAAAATAATAAAGTCAAAATAACCTGTGGGGATCAGACTTGTAGGACATTTTAATTGTGTTTTGGGAGTCCGTGTTTTGGAATAACTCTGCTTTCTGATTCTGTGTTTCAGAGGAAGGAGTGAGTCTGGTGATGTGTGGAATCTTCAGCCTCATCAGAAGGATGAAGGCCAAGAATCCCATGAGCTCCTGCACTTTCCTTGTCCGTGAGAAGCTGATTTCCCATCCCTGACCTTTGGGGAGCTCAGACTCCCTTTGGTTTCCTGATGCTGGAGATCAAGGCTGGTTGAGAAGGACCATCGAGGTTGATAAACCAGCAGCAAGTGACAAAAAGGTACAATACTCTTTCTGAAAGCCACACAAAAACATCTTCCCAGAGTAAAGGTGACTGACCTGAAACTGTAAACCTGCTCCCTGTGAGTTAATATAGAAAATCTCTGATACCAGCAGCAGGAGAGTCTTGGTTTCCATCTCTGTGTGTCTCTCTCGTGTTCTCATCCCCTCATTCTCTGTGCCAATGCTGAACTACTTCTACCATTTATATAACCCTAAATATATATTGATTTTTTAATATAGTTTCAGCCTTGCTTTCCTTTTGCCTTCAGCTTTCTTGTAAATCTGCCTGCTGCCTTTCAAATTGTCTCTTCCATTTTAATTGCATTTAGAGAAGAATGTGGCTCCTTTCTCTGAATTTCCATCCTTTTGATGTGAAAAACCTTTGGATGAAGGGTCTCCATCATGCTGGAAACCTGGGGTGTAAATGGCTCTTCCTCCTCCTCCAGAGCTGTGGAGCAGCAGATAAAAGGCAGAGTGGGAGTGGGAACAAATGGAAGTGGGGGCAAGGAGGAGGGAAGGAGAGGAGGAAGGAATGGGAGAAGGAGAAAAGGCTTTGAAAAACACGTAATGAGATTTTTAGCCTTGCTGCATCTTCTATAAACTCCCATGCAAGAACAAAGGGTTTAGGAGTGTTTTAAATATGTACCTATTTACACAGAAATATTTATCTTTGGCTGCTTGAAGTGTTTTTTGAAATCTTAAGGTGGAAATCTCTCAGCCAGGCTTCCTCCTTTCTTGTAGGATCTGTGTCCTTTGGGGCATGGCTTGTTCCAGAAAGACACTTCAGGGATCTTTGCAGTGTCACCAGGTTTGTGGGTGTTAAACACCATACATTTACCTGGAAAGTCCTCAAATCAAAAAAACCTCTTTATGCCTTTTTCTTCCCTATTGTTAATCCCAAAACAAAAGAGGAAAAATGACCTGGAGTAGATTTTCACACGTGGTCATCCTTGGAAATGGAATTTTCGTAAGCCCCTTGTGATTACATCCAGTGCTATAACTGGCAGCTTAGATAAAGGTTCAAGCAAGGCAATTAATCTTTTAATGAAGTGTACAAAGTTCTAGCCCTGGTCTCTCCCTTCAGATTAGTTTTATCTTGGTGAACAAGAGCACTCTGCTCTTAGAGTTGTTCAGCCTGTTGTGTCTTCATTACACCTGAGGTTTCCTTCTGCAGGGAGAGAAAAAGGCTGCAAGTTTTGGAAGCACTTGTGAGAACTCATCCCAGCACTGGCCACGGCCAGGAGCCAACAGAAAGTCCAGTTCCTATGACAGGAACAATTTCTGGGGGGATCCTGATTTTCCTTGAAGCTGCTCTGGGTTCGGAGAACTCTGAGGGGTTATTGGTGTGTGAGAAAACTGAGTAATTGTAGAGCAGAACCTGATCCTACCTTCCTTCTGCCTGCAAAGATGCTGAGCAAAACAGCTCCCAGGATTCAGGGGGAAGTTTCAGGATGTGCCCCTGCTCAGGAATGTGCTTTTGGCTTCCAGAAGATCTCCTGTGGGGGAGTCTGTGGGCCAGAAACAAGAGGGACTGTGTTCCTGGGCATTAACTTTACAGAGGACCCACATGGAGCTAATTCTGCTTTTAAGGTTTTAATTTTAATTCATTAATCCTTGAAGCATAAATTCATTGAAGCAACAGTGAATGTGTTTAGATCTGGGCTCTCTCTGAAGCTGATATTCATCCCACTGGTTTTATTGGTGACTTGTGGTAGTATGACATGTTAATTTAGTGTAACTGTGATTGATTAACAGAGCAGCTTTTTTGAGGTGTGATTACAGCCTGCTTGTGACTGCATGTTTTGGCAGATCTTTGGGCTGTACAAAGCCCAAATCCTTGTGGAAGTTGCTGCTGCCTTTTAGCAGGAACAAACTGCACACCCGTCGTAGACAGCACACCTGATGAATTCCCTCCCTGACCCAGTGTCACTGAAAGGCACCTGGGATCCAGGTTTTCATACAGTGAAATTACATTATCCTGAAAGTTTCTTCTCCTGAGCAGTGAAATCCTTGGCTGACATTTTTAGGGTGGCTTTTGTTCCATGCTCCCCACAGGTGTGTGGGCTCAGCCACGCACGGGAACATGTGAGGAAGAGGCACTGAGGCTCGTTCCTGTCACAGCCTTACATTGAGGAAATGTTTCCTTTGAAACTTGGAAAACAGTGCTGGGTCAAAGTGTTGCTCTCTGAGAAGCTGAGCAGATCTGTTCCTTCATGTTGTTCACTCAGAAACGGGCTTCACTGCCTTTTAAAAACTCGGGTGAGATTGTTTTCCTCAAAGCAGCACCACCATTCCTCCCTTTGGAGGGAGGATTTTCCTGATAAGCCCTTCCTGCTCGAGGAACAGGCTTAGATCATCAACTAAAAAATGTACCCTGTGAAATGGGGATTCTTCTTCCATTTGAAAAGGGTCTTTTTCCTGATTTAGTTCATACTCTTTTCTTTTTTTATGCTGTTCTTCTCATACACCTTCCAAAATCAGGGGCAGTTGCATCCTGTGATCACAGAGAGGCAACCTGGGAATTTTTTGGTGTGTATTTGAAATGTTATTCTGTGTAAATACAAGCCCTGGAGTGAGCAGTTCCCAAGCCTACACTGAGCTTAAACCTGCTCAGTGATTTTTCCCTATTTGCCTGTTTTTTAAGCTCAATTTGCCTCAATTCTCTGGTTTGTTTTTTAGAGCCACAACAAGGATTTACCAGTGCAGGTACAGGTGGATGTTTAATTGTTCCCTTGGAGTTAGAGGGTAAATGAAAACTGAAAGCTGTTTAGAGCTGAATTCAAATGAACAAACCCAAAACCTAAAAATCCCCCTAAAATGCAATCAATGGCCTTTTTATTTTCATCTTCTGTGCAGGTGAAGGAGGGTTGAAATGCTGAGCTTATTGTGATAGGGATGAACAGATTAGATCTGGTTTTGTGTCCCCCCTCCCTATTTAATCCCTCCTCTCTCTCTTTCTCTTTCCCTACCACAAGCAAGGAAAGCAGTTATGGATGGGAGGCTCTGCAGCCTTTCTCTTGGACCTAAAATCTGCCAAGATTGAAACTCCTGCAGGAATAACATTTTATTTTTTTTTAATGTGCCAAAGACCAAAAGATTGTTTGAACATTCAAGTTTTTCATCCAACTCATTTAAAAAGGAAACTCTTCTCCTTGCAGCCACTGTGGCTGTTCCTGATGAACAGGCACAGTCTAGAACTGCCTCATATTCAGTACTCAGGGATTTTCACCTTTCAAATTATGCAAGGAAAATAATAAGTGAAAGGGTGGGAGGGAGCAGGGGCTGGGAGGGGGAGTGATGAATGTCAGTTTAGAGGCAGCTACTTTGTGTCTGTACATTTCTGGAATCAAATCCCATTTCTTTTCTCACAGCACTATCTGGGAATAGTCTCGGTGTGATTTGGGAGGTGCAGGAGAGCAGGAAGCACCTGTCCCCCTCCTCACTGCCCCCTGTCCCCATCTGAAGCCAGTGCTGGGCTCTGTGTGGCCGAACTGGTGTGCAGTGAACTGGTCCCAGCACAGAGGCTCAAGGATAGGTAAGGGGGGAGAAAGGAATGAAGACTTTAAGCAGTCAGTGCTTGCTGCAGAGACTTTCCTTTTAGCTCCAAATCACATTCCAAATGGGAAACTTCTGTGAAATGCCTTTGGGATCAGTTAATGTGTTAGAGATCCCAGGACACGGTGGGAGGGCATGGGATGGAGGCATCATCTCTTGGGGGGTGAGGGGTTCAGGGAGCACAGGGAGCAGGACAAGGTGTGGGATGGATGGGAAGGAGTGGGGGGTCCCTGGAGCCCCTGTGGGGATGGAGAGGAGGATGCACATCCCATGAGAGGAGGGGGAAGGGGGTTCCAGGGTCACCTTTGTGCTGGTAGCAGGATGATGTGGGGCTGTGGGAAGGGGCTTCACCCAGGGGAGGGGGGGTCATACCTGGGACCGGAGCAGGACACCCAGGGGGGCCACAATGGCCCTGAGCCAGGCTGGGGGGCAGTGTGGGGGGGGGGGCAGGGCAGCCCTGGAACCTGCTCAGGGATGGTGCCAGTGCAGCACACTGGTACCACAATGTGCAGTGCTGTGCCGTGCCAGCCCAGCACACCGGGTACCACAGTGCCGTGCCGTGCCAGTCCTGCACACCGCTCCGTGCCGTGCCGTGCCAGCCCGTACAGATACCACACTGCCCGGGGCCGTGCCGTGCCAGCCCGGACACTGGCACCGCGCTGTGGCTGTGCCGTGCCGTGCCAGCCCTGCACAGGGTTATCGCTGTGCCAGCCCTGCTCGCGGGTACCGCGGAGCTGTGCCGGTCCTGCACGCTGGTGCCACACTGAGCCGTGCCGTGCCGTGCCGTGCCATGCCAGCCCGTACGCTGGTGCCGTGCCGTGCCGTGCCAGCCCCAGCGCCGTGTGCCGGGTCCCCCGAGTGCTCGCCGGGTGCTGCGGGGCCGGAGCAACACCGCAGGATGCAGCGGAGCATCCCCCGATCTCCCCCCGTGCCCGGCCCGGCTGGCCCCGCTGCCGCAGGCGCTGCCCGAACCCGGGAAAACGGGCTTTGTTGGGAACCGGCTCCTCGGGCACATCCCTTGGGAAAGGGGCACACGGAGAAGGGAACAACCCTTCGGGCTGTGCCCATTAAAAAATAGCGCCCGCTGCCCCCTCCCTCCTCCGGCTCCCGGCGAGCCGCACAAAGGATCCATCGCAGCCTCCTCGCACACTCACCCGCTCCGGCCGCATCCTGCTCGGCCCGCCGGGCTCCTCCGGAGGGGACAGCGCTGCTGGAGCCCCGAGCCCCGCCGTGCTGGAGCCCCGAGCCCGGCCCGGCCCCGCTGGCGCTGCCGCAGCTGCGGGGGGGGAATCGCTCCGCACCCCCTCGGCAGCACTCTGAGCACAGCCAGATTTGTCAACTTTATTTAGGGGGAAGAACGGATCACATGGGGAGCTTCACCGAGCTGGGAGGAGCGTGTTAGTGCGGAATCAGGTCACTAACATAAAACCGGAGTTGGTCACAGACACCCACGTTAATAGTGTCGGCATAAGCCGGGCTTAAAGAGCAGGCTGAGACAAAGGCAGGAGATGCTGATGGGAATGAAACGCTTCTGTTTTCTTCCCTTATCTGTGTCATTACAGGGTAATTTCGTGCTCCTTTTGTCGGGCCAGTTTTCCTAATCGGGTAAGGAGCAGAATGTGAAGGAAATGTTTTCAGTTTCCAAGTGCTTTGGAGCACATTCGTCCTGGCTGTCGAGCATTTCTACAGCCTTTTTAAAAATACATTTCTGAGATGCTTTGTCTCTGTCCTGCCGTGTTGTATTGATTTATTCCCAGAGAAAGAGATGCTACAGACCCATTCCCAAACATTCCCGTGCCCACAGAAATAGTCCAGGTTGAATAATTGCCTCTGACTCCAACCTTTAATTTGTATCTCCTGCTCAGATGAAGACTGCTGGCTGATCCCTATTGTCCCACTGGCTGAGGAATCATTGTGGAATGTAGTTTCTACAGCACCTTTTTGTGTTCCCTGTCACTCATTAATAGATGGCAAAGCTCCCAAGGCAACACAAAAGCTGTCCCTGAGTGCCAAGGAGCTGGTTGGTGTCAGGACCGCAGCAGGATCCCTATGACTTTTAATCTTATTGTTTATTTAATCACCCACACATTCCAAAAGAGCTGTGATGGGTTTAGGTTATTTAGAGGCCAGAATTCAAATGCAGATTCCTAAATATGGATCCCTAAATACACACATCTCTTGTGAAGAAGTGGGCCTGACTTTTATAGGTGCTAAGCAACTGTTCTTCTGCATTTCCATCTGCTTTGAAGTCACATCCCACCCTCTGCCACCTTCCTCATGTCCACACTTGGAGAAAGAAATTAGCTTTGGAAAGTAGGCTACCTCATTCCTTTGCTTACAGAAACATCCTGCCCAAAGGAAGCTCCATCCTGCCCAAAGGAAGCTCCATCCTAAAGATGGAAAGGATTTGGGAAGCAGAGGGATCGCCACAACAGAGCCAAGAGACCTGATATGTCTAGGGGAGTGTGTCACTGCACACCCAAGTATGACTCAAACAGCCATGGAACAAGTGGCAGCTGCCTACAGAGTGACTCTCCTTCCCTCAGCTTGCACAAAATGAACTAGCTTTGGCACTTAAAGGCTGAAACAGTCAAAATGTTGATCCTTGGCAACTTCTTAATGAAGCTCCTCTGGATCAGAGAGGACATAAATCAGGATACCACATCAGGGAAGCAACTTTCACGTTGGTGTGCATGAAAACACATCCCTGAGTGCTTTGGTGTGCAGTGCAGTCTCCCTGCAGAATAACTTCACATCCCTTGCTTTCCTCTCCCCAGCAAAGGGGTGAGCTGTGCCTGTTCCACTCCTGCTTCCCGAGGATCCCAGAGGGATGAGGGCAGTGCAGCTGCTCCAGCTGGAGGGGGAATTGCAATTGCAGTTGGTTCTTTTATAGGACAGATGAATGGGTGGAGAAAAAGCTCTTTGCATCTTTACTACAACCCAGGCCTGCTGGAAACATAGCCAGGACTTCCCTGTGCTCTCCACCAAACCGGGGCATTTCTCAGCTCGTCTGGAGGAAAACCTGGAGACTGAGCTGGACGTGCAACTCCCATTTCAAGGGAGCAGAGGCCTGGTTTTCAGCAGTTATACCCTCTGCAGGCATCTTTTCTTCGGGTTTATTTTTTGGCAATCTCTCTGTATTTCTGGGTAGCACTGGCAGGTAAAGAATAACCCCAACAAAGACTTTTACAGCCCCGGTTATCCCTTATTTATATTTCACCCCCAGGGTCTTTTTTCCTTACTGCCTGAAGTTTTCTGTCTTCTGCATTTCACAAAACTTTCCTTTTATATTTTTATACCCTGCTTCTTACTGAAGTGTCTTATGTCAACTGGAAAAGCTATATATAATGTGTGTGTATACATGCATATTTATATATATGCACACACATACATATGCAAAGGCCTGGGAATACAAATTTCCACCAGTTTGCATCGGTGCAAGGGGAGTTTTTCCTCCAGTTTTATTACATTTAACTCTCCCAAAGCTTTGCCTCTGAACTTATAACTAAGCCAATAAGGAATGTCTGACAAGATTCTAATATATTTTGATGCTACAGTTAATCTTTTCTTCAACTCCTTGTTCTTAATCCAGTGTGACTAATACACTCAAATTCCTCACACTCTCAAATTTGCCACTTCCTGAATCTTCTCTGGTTTAAAGCTCATGACAGGTCAAAAGTTGTATCAGTTGGAAGTTTGTGGCTCTCAGGGGGCTGTGGACAGGAACAGGTTTACAAGGAACAGCTTTAGCTCCTCCAGGAAAACTTCCACTCAGGGATTCAGTGAAGATTCAGTAAGACTTTAGGGAGAAATTCCTGGCTGTGAGGGTGGGCAGGCCCTGGCACAGGTTGTTCAGAGCAGCTGTGGCTGCCCCAGCCCTGGAAGTGTCCAAGGCCAGGTTGGAGCAACCTGGGCTAGTGAAAGGTGTCCCTGCCCAGGGCAGGGGGTGGAATGAGATGAGCTTTAAGGTCCTTCCAACCCAAACCACTCTGGAATTCTACAATCCTGTGCTTTAGACCAAAGTGCCTTTGTGCTCATGATCTCTGGACAGGGAATGCTGTCCCAAGTTCATTGGTATGTTCAAGGTCTGGAAGGAAAATGAACGTTTGCAACTCCTTGAGAAGTTCTTCAAGCTCTGAAAAAGAGCCCAAAGCTTCTCTCCCACCCTGCACTGAAACATTCCTTCTTCATCAGTGTGGAAATCCCTGGTGTCCCAGTCAGACTGTTGATATTCCCATGGCTGCTTCTATTTTCAGGGTTATAATTGGGATTGGTTTTTTTTCAGATTGTCCTTTCTCTTAGAAATTCAAACTGCAAACAGTGGCAGATCAAAGCCCCCCTGTGATGTAGGTGTGTTGTGTGAGGGGATCACCCCCAAGGGGATGTTTTCTCCTCCTCTGCTTCCCTGCCTACACTACTGTCAAGGTGCTCTTCTCATGTAGAGATCCAAGCAGAGTCCCATTTCCACCTGGGTGGGAAGGAAGGAATTTGGCTTTTCCTCAGCCAGAGCAGAGCAGGAACGCAGTAAAAAAAAAAAAAAAAAAAAAGTTATTAAAAGCAAAGTTTCTCAGCAAAGCCAGGCCATCAAATTCCTCTTCATTTGCTAAAGTTATAAATATTGACTGCAGGGGAAGAGGAAAATTTAGAGCCAAAGAGAGCGAAATGAAATCACATTATGCAGAAAGTTTCAGTGCTTGTGTGGAGTTGTTCTCCTCTCCCATCCTAACCGGAAGGTTCGGTTTTATTGGGAGAGATAAAATTTACTTAATAAAAAAATCAGTTACCAGCCTATTCCTGGATGAGTACACAGTGTAAAAATGGCTTAGCCCAGCACTGCTGATCTATCAGTCTCTCTGATTTTAATTGCATGCAGCCTGATCATAAAACGGGGAATGAGGTTTGAGATTTCTGAGGCATTGTTGGAATTATCAGGCTGTTCCACTATCTCTGAAATGGCTCCTGAAGAAGACTGGCAGTTGCTGAATTCTTTATTCCAGAAAGGAGGCAGGTGAGAGGGGCATGGTAGGAGTATATAAATACATAAAACTGAGGGAGGGAGGCAGAAATTCCTAATTAATCTGACAGTTTTTGAGAGCAAGGAAAAATTCAGTGGAATTGAAAGGCATTACAGGTAATATTAATGGAAGGAAATGTGCCTGTAACAGAGCACAGAATTCCCCAGTGGAATTCACTTGTGCAGGTGTGCACCAAGGTTGAAAGACTGGAAGGATTTCTGGGAAGGTGTCAGTGTCCTTGTGGGAATAAAAGCATGCAGAGTTAGCAGAGGTGGTTTTTATTGTGGCCTGGGGCTGTAAGACACACACACTCAGCACATGGAAGGAGGAAATTCCCTAGTGGGGCAGATTTCCTGTATTAATCTTTCCCTGGAAGTGTAACAGCATTTCTAAAAGCTTCTGGGACTGACCAGTGTCAGAAGTCTGGGCCACATAAACAACATGTTTGATGTTGTACAGGGACTTTTCTCACCCTGAAACAGCTCTGGGTTTGTGTCTGCTGGGTGAGGAATGAATTCTGCTTCAGCACCAGCAATATAAATCTAGATTTTTCCCCTGAGGTCAACTCCTTCTGCGCACATCTACATAAATTTCCAGTCCTATCACTGGTGACTAGAGAGCTGATGTGTTTCTTTTACCAGATCAAAACCTCCTGGAAAAAAAACTTGAAGCAAAGAATGGACATTCTGGAAATGTGGACTATAGTGCAGGTAGGGCGGTTTGTCTGGTTTTACAGTACCTGTTTCACAGCACAGGTCAGGAGTGTTCCAGAAGCTGGCGGGTTCTTTGAAATGACCCCGAGGAATCCCAGAATAGATCCCTGCCAGCACCAACATTGTCTTTTCTGGGATTTCCTTTAGACCCCTCCTTGCCTCTGGTAGGGAGATGGTTCAGTCACCAGTGGTGTCTCTGGCAGTCTCTCCAGAGTGGATGAGGAGTGGATGATGCTCTCACAAGTGGCACTTCCACGAGCTGTGCACACCCTGCTGTGTTTTCTGCAGCAGGTCCTTTCTTCCCACCTCTGTATTCCTTTTAAAATGGAAATGCAGCAGCTTTGGAAGCACAGGGCCCTGTTCAGCAGCTGCCAGACCTGAGGGCAGCAGTCTCTCATTTTGTGGATCGAGCTGTGGCTGCCCCATCCCTGGAGGTGTCCAAGGCCAGGCTGGAGCAACCTGGGCTGGTGGGAGGTGTCCCTGCCCATGGCAGGGGGTGGTCCTGGATGGACTTTCAGGTCCCTTCCAGCCCAAACCATTCCATGGTTCTGTGATTCTGTGACATCTGCACACACAAACCCCATGTTTTCTGCTTTCTTGTGCTTCCATCTCTGCTCTCTCGTCCCAGGCCAAAGGGTCCTCATCCCCTCCTCTTCTCTGAGTTGC